ATCAGAAAAGAGCGCGGAAGGCGCGGCATTTTTTTATCAGAAAGAAGCGCGGAAGGCGCGGTATTTTTTTTATCAGAAAAGAGCGCGGAAGGCGCGGCATTTTTTTTTCATCAGAAAAGAGCGCGGAAGGCGCGGCATTTTTTTTTCATCAGAAAAGAGCGCGGAAGGCGCGGTATTTTTTCATCAGAAAAGAGCGCGGAAGGCGTGGTTTTTTTTTTTTCAGAAAAGAGCGCGGAAGGCGCGGATTTTTTTTTTATCAGAAAAGAGCACGGAGAGAGAAAACTGAATTCACAATTGTTCAGGGACGTGACAGATGCCGTGCACTCGTGAGAAGGTCTCATAAATACAGAAGGTCTCACAAATACACAAGGCTCAGAACTTATCATACCATACTCTAATACCACAACATCTGAATATAAAATTTTAAGATTTACTCTGATATCATAAAATCTCCAAACAAAGCCTAACTTACAATATCATGATTTATATCTAAAATCTAAGTTCAATTTACAAGATGGTTAACCTTCTAACTCGTTACTCCTCTCGTTTTTCCGCGTGCGGGATTCAAGACATGTGCTAATGTTACTCCCACTAGCGGGGGTCAAAAATCATGACTATATGAAAGACAAAACCATACAAGATTTATAGAAAATTCCGAAATTCACAATCAATCTCAAATTTCAGAAATAATCAGAAAATTTCCATGTGGGCATGGATTTAACAGAAAATCATAATTTGCGAAAAATTCTTAAATCATGAGAGCAGTTCAGTAAGTTCCAAGTGGCATGCTCTACTCAATGAAAACAAAAATAACTCTATTTCAAATCAATCATACTCAGTGCTAATAAAATCAATTTAAAATCAATTTAAACCTTGCTACCATCTCAAAAACAATTTAAAAACATACTTTGAAATCGAAGAGCATTACCATAATTTATTTACCTTACTCGCATAAAACCGAAAACTCGATCTCAGTGCTAAACTGACAGAACAATCAGGAATCTAATCAAAATATCCAAAATTAATACCGCACTACTGCAAATTCAAGTGAAATCATCATTAGGATCACCTTTAATCACGATGCTATTTTTATTAGTCTCCACATAACCGGACATCTCCAAATTTATTTTTATATTACAAATTAATCATTTAAATCCCGTTAATTGTTGGTCATTAGTGCGTGAACAGTGCCCGTAAACAGTGCCCGTGAACAGTACTCGTGAACAGTCACTACAACTTCCAAAAATTGGCAAAACAATGGCTAATTCACAACAATTACTCAAGCTAATTTCCACTTAATTTAAACAAAACCCACTTAAAGCTACCGAAATTCATCCCCATTCTTCAACAAATTTTCGGACAATGCAAGGGCAGCCACTATATGGATAAATTCAACAAAACAAGCAGCAATTAATTGATAAATTTAACTTGGAGGAGCTGTCCATACCAGAATTCCAGCCAGCAGAAACCGAAGCTGCAGATTGGGGAAGCCGGCGGGAAGTGCAGGGGGAATTTCGGGAAATCTACCCAAAAATTGGAGAAACCAAGAGAAATCAAAGCTAACCCAAGCCAATTCAAGGAAGAACAGAGGATTTAATGGCTGTTTCTTACCAGAATTTTCAAGAATTTCGCACCCACAAACAAGAGCAACCGACGGAAAGAAGGAAGGAAGGTCACGGGGCTACCAAAATCTGGAGAAACAACAGATTTAACATGAACCCAAGCTAAATCAAGCTGAAAAGATGGAGTTCATGGCTGTGGCTTACCGGAAAAAGCCCAGAAATTCGGGCCTAGCAGCACCAATGGACGGACAAAGCAGAGCAGATCCGGAAACTCCTGCAGGGGGGGAGATTTCTAAGCTCCAAATCTGGTTCTTGAACAAGAAAAGAAAGGCAAAAACCAAGCTTTCTCACCGGTTCTCAGAGGGGAAGTGCGTCGGGGACCTGGGTCTTGTTGCTCGGTGCAGGGGAAGAAAAAGAAGAGCAGGTGCGCGGGTGAGGAAGAAGAAAGAAGAAAAAAAAAGTAGTGGATCCTTATCTACGGCTTCGCGGGTTGGTTTGGTTCGGATTTTAACATTTTTTAATCCAATTTAATTTAATCGGTTAGTAAAATTTTTAAATCAATTTAATCCATTATTATATGATAATCAAACCAATTCAATTTAAATTGGATCAGTGTGGTTCGGTTAGATTGATCGGTTTTTAACACTATTACATATATGAGATAATGTAAATAAATTTAACATTAAGAAAAAAAACATAAATATAAAATACGTTAATATCCAAATAAATAGAAACATAATTAAAAAAAGTACAAATTATAAACAAATTCTTATACTCTTTTATAATTGT